GGATCAGGAAATCCAACCCAGCTGGGAATCCTGGAATGTTTAGGGTTGGAAAAGATCTTTGGGATCAGCAAATCCAACCCTGACCGGGACTCACGGAATGTTTAGGGAATCCTGGAATGTTTAGGGTTGGAAAAAACCTTTGGGATCAACAAATCCCGCCCAGCCGTGTCCCCAAGTGGGATTTTTGGGCCCATCCAGGGAATTTTTGAGCCCACCCTGAGCAGCCCATCCCAGTTTTTTCCAGGATTATTTTTTCCCGTTGTTTTTTCCAACCCCCCACCCCCGGAGGGGCCCGGGGCAGGATCCCAAATCCCATTTCCAGGTGGATTTTAATCCCAAATCCCATTTCCAGGTGGATTTTAATCCCAAATCCCATTTCCAGGTCGGTGCTTGAGCAGCTCCTCACTGCCAGGATGAGCTTCCCAAATCCCACCCAACATCCAGGAGCTGGGAATTCCTGCAGGATCACCCTTGGACAAGCCAATCAGGTAACTGACAGCTAATTAGCAGCTAATTACCCCTCCCTGCCATCATTTCCTCATCAGAGCAGAGATTTTTTAATAAAATAGGAAATATCTTTAAATCCAGAGAATTTATCCTAAAAGAGAATCAAGATTTATCCCAATTTGTTCTCTTTCCATGATTTAGGAATATTTTCAAGGAACAAAAATTATTAAATTAATTTAATTTTTAATTAAATTACAAAAGAACATCAAACCATGAAATTATAGATATTATTCTGCTGGATTTTTTTTTTTCTTGGAGCTAGATTCCAAATATTGGAGATTTTTCTACATATCAGAATTGAATTAAATTTATAATGTTTATAATTTTATTGAATTTTCTTTAGTAATTCATCCCCAGGGCTTTTTTTTGAGGTAGTTTAGGGAGTATTTAGACTCGGAATATTCCCGTTATCCAAAATTCCTGGAGTTTTCCTGGAATAAAAAGCCATCAAGAGCAGAAAAATTCACAAACAATAATAATGAGCTGGAAAAAAGAAATTTAAAAAATCAGAAATTCCACCTTCCAAGAGCCAATTCCTTGGGAGAAAAAACATCTTTCCAATAGCAGGGAATGTGCTGGGAGTGGGAATAAATCTGGATTTTCCATTTGAGGAAAATTGAGGAGCTTGGAACTGGAACCAAATCCAGAAAAAAAAAAAAAAAAAAAAAAAAAAATGGAGTAAATAAATAAAATTTATTGTGCTCAATTAAAGTGAATAAATAAATAAAGAAAAAAATTAAATAAATAAAAATTAATAAATAAATTGGAGAAAAATAAATGCTCAAAACATCCAAACAGGGAGGGGTTAAATCCAAATTCCTTGGGATTTTTTGGGATTATTCCAGGTTTGATTCCCGGAATTCCAACTGAACCTTGCTGTGTTTTTCCAGGTGATTCCCAAAGTTCCCCTCCTGAGGATTCTGCAGGCTGCGGGCGCCCAGGGCGACACCTTCACCCTCAAGGAGGTGGGGCCGCGTTCCCGCCGTTATCCCGGGGTTTTTGGGATGTGCCCTGGGATTCCCGCTGGGATTCACGGTGTTTTCAACCCCTCCTGGAAAATGTTCCCCTTTTTACTGAAGGGGCACCTTGGGGACACTTCAGGGTCAATTTGGGGTCACTTTGGGGCACTTCAGGGTCACTTTTTGGGAACATTTTCAGGGCACTTCAGCATCACTTTTGGGTCACTTTGGGGCAATTCAGGAACACTTTGGGGTCACTTTTTGGGGCACTTTGGGGCACTTTAGGATCACTTTGGAGTCCCTTTTGGGGCACTTCAGGGTCACTTTTTGAGGACACTTTGGGGCACTGATCGCTTTGGGGTCACTGGGAACACTTTGGGGTCACTTTTTGGGGTCACTTTTGGGTCACTTTGGGGTCACTTTTTGGGGTCAGTTTTGGGTCACTTTGGAGTCACTTTTTGGCAACACTTTTGGGTCTCTTTGGGGTCACATTTTGGGAACAGTTTTGGGGCACTTTAGGACCATTTTGATGTGACTTTTTGTGGTCCCTTTGGGGGCACCTTTGGTTCCCTTTGATTCCCCTCCATCCCTGGCAGTTCCCGTCCATCCCAGGGCTCCATGCCAGGGAATTCCGGGGGCTGTGGGGCTGAGGGAAGGCGCTGTGTCCCCGCAGGTGATGCATTTCCTGGGTCAGTACATCCTGGGCCGGCAGCTCTACGACAAGAGGCAGCAGCACCTGGTGCACTGCGGGGGAGACCAGCTGGGAGAGCTGCTGGGCCTGCAGAGCTTCTCCCTGCGGGATCCCAGGTGAGGGGAAATTCCCCTTTTCCTCTGGGAAATCTCATTTTCGGTCAGGTGGCACCGGTGGGATGAAAGGGCAGCTCTGGGGTTTGGGGTTCTGGGTTCGGGGTTCTAGGTCTTGGGTCTGGATTCTGGTTTGGGGTTCTGGGTCTTGCTTTGGGGCTCTAGGTATTGGCTAGGATTCTGGTTTTGGGGTTCTGGGTCTTGGTTTGGGGTTCTGGGTTTTTGGTTCAAAGTCTTGGTTCTGGATTTGGAGTTCTAGGTTTGGGTTCTGGATTCTGGTTTGGGGTTCTGGGTCTTGCTTTGGGGCTCTAGGTATTGGTTAGGTTTCTGGTTTTGGGGTTCTGGATCTTGGTTTTGGGGTACTGGGTTCTGGTTTGGGGTTCCAGGTTTGGGTTTATTGGTTTTGGGGTTCTGGTTTGGGGTTCCAGGTTTGGGTTCCAGGTTCAGGTTCTAGGTCTTGGTTTGGGGTTCTGAGTTGTTGGTTCTAAGTCTTTGGGGTTCTAGGTTTGGGTTCTGGATCTTGGTTTTGGTTTTAGGTTTTAGTTTGGGGTTCTGGGTTTGGGGTTCTGGGTTCTGGTTTGGGGTTCCAGGTTTGGGTTCTAGGTTCAGGTTCTAGGTCTTGGTTTGGGGTTCTGAGTTGTTGGTTCTAAGTCTTTGTTTGGGGTTCTAGGTTTGGGTTCTGGATCTTGGTTTGGGTTTTGGTTTTAGGTTTTAGTTCGGGGTTCTGGGTTTGGGGTTCTGGGTTTTGGTTCTGAGTTTTCTCCAAGTCTGGGTGGTGAATTTCAGTTGAAATCAGAGTTGTGTGCTGAGGGTTGTGATGAGAAATGTAAAACCAAAAACCCAGAACCCAGAATGGAATGTAAAAAACCATTAATTGGGGTTTTTAGTTTTTTTTTTTTAGGGATAAATTCAGTGTGGGTTTTAGGATCTCTCAAGGGAAAAAAATCCCTCTGATTTTTGGGATCTCTAGGGAAAAAACACCTCAGTGGTTTCTGTTAGAAAACCCCACTGTTTTTTTGAGGTCTCTCCAGAGGAAAAACCTCCATGATTTTTGTGATCTGTAGGAAAATGGATTCCCTGATGGTTTTTGGAGATAAATGTATAAAAAATGAGTGGGTTTGTGGTTCCTGGGCTCTCTCTAAAAGGGATCTTCCTGTTCCTCCCCAGCCCCGTGTACGAGATGCTGAAGAGGAACCTCAGCCCTGCTGCACTCCCAGGTAGGTTGCTCCTGTTCCATAAATGTTGCTCTGTGCTGGTAAGTACCCAAATCCAGGAAAATCCCAAATCCTGTGGCTGCAGGAGGAATAAAACTTCTCTCAGAAGCTTTTCCAAGCAAATCTCTCGGAGTTTGTGTCTTTTCTGTGTGCCAGGAGCTGTTTGAGTGATGCCAAAAAACCCCAAATTTGGGCCAAAGCTAAATCCAGGAATCCTAAAATCCAGATATCCTAAAATCCTGAAATCCATCCTTGACTGAAACCAATCTTCCATCGATCAAAATCAATCTTTTATTAATTTCTCGATATTTTTTCAGCTTTAGAGCTGCAAATTCTTGATCTCAACTCATTTTATATTTTGATCAATATCAAAAATTCTAAGTTTTCAAAGCCTGAAAAGAAAAAAACCCAACCCCTCTCTAAATTCTCTCTAATTTCTTTCATAAAAGAAATAAATCTCTAATTTATTTTAATTATCTCTAAATTAAAACTCCAAATGCTAAAAATCCTGCAAGGCTTTAATGTTGAACCTTGCAGCTTCCCCAGCTCGTGGGGGAAATTAAATCCAACTCCATCAGAAGAGGAAAATTTATCCTCAAATTAATCTGAGCTTGGGGGGTCTTCTTTAAAACCGGTTCCTGTTGTAGGACTGGGAAAAATAAACTCCACTGGCAGAGCTGTGGAATTTTGTGCTGCATTTCCCATTTTTTTCAGGAGATAAAAAAGGATTTTAAACCTTTAGGAGGGCTCAGGCCCGTGTGGAGAAATTAAAAAAATCCAATTAAAATTCAAAACTTGGCCCTCGAGGCTTCAGCGCTTTCTGCCTTGGGATTTCTGCCTTGGGATTTTTATTTTTCTGGAAGATTCTTTTCAAGGATATTTCGATTTCTTTTCTAGAAGAATCTTTGGAATTCTCTTTGGACTCTTTTTAGCTGTAGGAAAATTGTGTGAGTGCCGTTCCCCGAGCAAAGCCGTGTGCGTGGAGCTGAGCATTCCCAGCCAATCTCCGGCCTTTTCCTTGGAATGTGGCAGTTCCTGGGCCTCCCTTTAGGCCAGGCTCAGGAAAGCCCTTCCTGGGGCACAGTTAGGCCCGGCTGTGTGTGAGTGTGGCCCAAACCAACCACGCTTGGCAGAGCAACCTTGGAGTGCACAGGGATTGTTTCCTTCCCTT